AGTACTTCAACATTTTTCAAATATTTTCCGCTAAATAACTTTCAGTAAAAAGGGGAATTTTAATTTGAAAAACAAAAGTTTATAACACCAAAGGACACTAAAAACCGTCAAGAATTTTAAATGTTGGTCTTTAAGTATAGATATAAAAAATTCAAAAATTCAAATGTATCATTAAATTAAAAGATGGGGTAGCATGGTTGGTGAATCACTCTGTGTAAATATATAATATTAAAAACATATGTGATAACAATAAAACATATGACAATAATATACCTATGTATATCGTACAGTATACACTACATACATATATATATATATATATACCTACTATATAGAGATAACAGATAAACACAATATTTATATTATATACCTTCAGCCAAGTTATAATTTATGTGCATTTTATAATTTTTCTTTTTTTTTTATCATTATAAGAGGAATACAATATGTTTTTTTTATTCGTTCATTTTTTATTATTACTATTATTATTATTATTATTATTTATTTTAAGCGTATTTTTACTTTTTACCGATTTTTACCATTGATTTAATCTGTGTACAAATTTTACCAAAGTCATATTATAGATAATATAGTAACTACTATTACCTGCATTATTTTATTATATAAGTGTACCTATAGTGACGTTCGTAAGACAGAACAATAAACCATAATCTATAAGCATCCTTGTTGAACCAGGTGTTTAACTTATTAACACAATATCCAGGYTGTTTGATAGCATTGATTTTAAAATAACTTTAAAAACAAGTATGGTCACCAACAAGGGTCAACCCATGCCTAAGTTTATCTACATCACTATTTACATGCAATTTTAAGTCCAGTATGAGCGATCACGAGACGCTCCTTTTCTTTAAAGCAAAAACAACGCTGAAAATACAATTTTACATCCCTTAGTTAACATTTTCAAAAATTTTTTGCTAAAATGTAATTTACCTATGCCGTATACTTTTTAGCTTAGTTTCGAAATTCACTCGGAAACCCATGCATCGCAAAATTMAAAAATATGTAAAATAGGCATGGTAATAACTATTATCAACAGGTAGTCACTCGCACTTAAGTTCGAAAACAATATCTACGTGGAATGTTTTTATAATTTTATACGCTTTACATCGTTGCGATGTCAAAATTAAACATCATGTACCTAGTAATAAATGCCTTGCTATAACTCTTAACATCTTGGTATTATATTATTATTTTAGGCAGGTATATGACATAATATGTTGTATAACATTAGTGATTGATCATTACCAAAAGTTTTTTTTTTTTTTGTTATTGATCTTAGCATTCTTAAGCCCGGCAACTAAGGCTATAGACTAAGCTGTTGTAGGGGTAAGGTTTTGATACGTTAGGTTTTTTTTACGGTTGTTACGGTATAGGTAACAAACACGTGTAAGTGTGGCAAAGTTTTTAACTACTATGAAACCCGGGTGGCGGGTGGTCACCCATCCGGGAGCTAGTATCTGTGGCCGTTACTTACTCCTAATCGCATTCCACGATTGGTAGCAGCCAACACACCACTCCAAGCCACCAAAAAAGTTTATTCAGTATCGTATAATAATAATTTTCAACACATCACATAATCTTGATAATTTTGAGGGTACCTATACATATAATTATAAACTACACATTTCATCAAATACATTCAACTCTTATTCTTGTTTTAAGTTGTTATCATTTCTATATGCGAAACCATTAACGTGATGAAGCTTTTACCTCATTTGTCCGAGTAATCATAGGCAAATATGTCGTAAATCTTAAAATCCCTGTTTGAGCACTTCTCAGGGTTGGACCGACCGGGTTCAACAGTAAATCTAAGCCATCTAGAAAACCACTCAAACATATATATACAGGGTGATTTTTTAAGCATGCTCGCCCYRTTTTKATKCTTAAATTATGCATATATTCAAATTTTGATTTTTGGAATATTTAAGTGTAGTTAAAGGCGATATTTTTGAGTACTTAGATTTTTCACAACTTTTAAGGAGTATC